CATCATTTTTCGGCCATGTTATGAGAAGAGGAAAAATAGAACATGTTGTGACCACTGGAAAGATCTGTGGAAGGAGGGATAGAGGAAGGCAACGAGAGAAGATTCTTGACAGTCTTGTTGCATGGCATTGAGGTGTGTCGGCACACGAACTGATACATGCTGCAGGAGATCGTGGATTATAGAGAGGCATGATCGCTTACGCCAGTCAGCAAGGCACCTGATGATGATGATGATGATGGTCCACTGCCACCAAAAAAGCTTGTAGTAAGAGGCGACTAATTACAACTACTGAAATCAGATGTGTTGGGGTGTAAGGCGCAGATATCGTAGTCTGGCTTTAAACCACAACTCAACGTGCCAACCGCCCTTTTAAGGGACAACAAACAAAACAAAACAAATAATAATCACCCGGCGGGGAATCGTGACGGGCGCAATTACATCTGTACAACCAGAGACTAGAGAGTTTGGTTGCAATGAAATTAAATTATACTGCGAAGCATAGTTTGTAGTGTTCCTATTCCAGATGTTTAAATATATGACCTCTTTAGGCCCTGAATGGGATTGTGTTAACACTGAATAATCTGGGACCGGTATCCGGAAGAGTGCCGATAAGAACTAAAAATGACTTGACAGTTGAAATGGTTGGATACATGAAGGTCACATCAAAGGTCACTCTAACGTCTGACGTATTCGGTTCGAGTCGGAAAAGCGACAACTTGACGCAAAGGTTAACTAAGACGTAACTGACCCGTTATTTACCAAAATACGATTTAGCAAACAATAACTCACCGTTGGATCATTCTCTAAATTGAAAAAAAAAAATAAAAACAATAACACGTCGATCACTCAACCGCAGAGGTCATCAACTTTTGAAGACGTCAAATGTGTAATTAAAGTAGCCATTATTTTAAAATACATATTCTGGATAAAGGCGTACCTAAACAAACCTGTGGTGTAATTAAATGTATGTGAAATCATTCTACAAACCTCTGAAGGTGTATGGATGTTGGACGGCGCCGTGTGCCGGCTGGTTGTCGTCCTCTGCCCCCGGTGATGACTAGAAATCCAACGACAGCATTTCCATGGCAACTGTGAGTAAATCTCCATACCAAAGCGGATTACGTACACGATGTTAGCCAATTGATTCTTGCGTTACATTCAACAAATCTACACCTTCCTTAGAAACAGAAGGCAACATTGCACACCTTTGTGCGTTTTGGTGCTTAGAGAGAGAGAGAGAGAGAGAGGACATTGGGTGCAGTTCATCATCATCACGCGCCAAGACGATCTGCTGCTGCTTCTTCATCTTCTTCACTTTCTGCAGTTGATTTTTCATTGTTCATTTTTGAGATTATCTTCATCGGATATAACCATAAGTGCTCCGATCTCATCCTCAGTGTGACTCCAAGTGTTTTTAGGCTAACAACTAAACATATGCCATTTTGTAGTCCTAAATATTCAATAATGTAATGAAACTTTCAGCAGATCAATTTTCTTCGATCAGCCACAGATGGCCAAAGACCTGATGGGATTTTTGAAAACAGGAGCTACACACATGCAATCTTTATATTTAAAAAGTTATTAGAAAAAAAACATTGCATACGATAAGAGCTAATGTGTGGGGTTTCGGAGAAAATGAGAAGGCATTCGACAAGATTCGGTAGACAAGTATTATGGTTCGATATGGAGTAATTGAGCACCTCATCGTAGTGTGCTTAATTTATGTGTTGACTATAGAAGAGTAGTTGAAATCAATTAGGGAACATCTAAACCATTTACAGTAACTCCTGGAGAAAGACAGGGATTTGTCTTATGACCACTGCTATTTATCACTTATATCGACAGTATATGCAAGGGTAGCAATTTCAGGAACGAAAATATTAGTAATATCCGCGAATTATTCTTTGCTTGTGATCAAGCTTTGATAGCAGATACAGCCATGAAATAACATCATAATTTCACATCCATTGAAGAATATAAAACAAATAATATGAGAATCAACATTGAAAAGACGGCGAAAATTATTCTTCTGTTTTCTCCTCCTCCTCCTCCTTCTTCTTCTTCTCTAGTCCTGTATTGCCTTTCAGCGTCAGGTTCTGAACTACGTAGATGCTGGTATTTACGGCCTTGGATATTCTACCTATCCATCGCTTACGTGGTCGACCTCTGGATCTGCTTCCATTATGTCTAAGTGATAAGGCTGGGGTAGTCTTGATTCACGCCCAGACTCGCAAAAACATATTCAAGCGTAAGTGGAAGACAAAAATAGTACCTACGTATAACAGTAGAGTGCAACGACAAATTAAACATGCATCTGAGTTTTTTAAAAAAAAATATGTGGGAACAACATTCATCGAAGATGGTAAACTGGATACGGAAATTAACACCCGATGCATTAATTGAGCAAACCAAGCGTTAGGACACTAGTCCCCCTCGATCAGTACAAAGAAACACATCGGGCAAAACATGTTCAACCCCATAATATGCTACCGCCAGACATGGTCACTTACAACAAATCATACAAAAAAATTAGTAAACATGGAAATGAAATGGATGAGAACGACTGCCGGAGTGATCAGAAAAAATGAAAATCAGGAATTAAGTCATAAATAAATAAGTTGGCACAGAACCAGTTGTAAATTACTGTGTACATACAAAGACATCAAATCAAATGCTTTGCCCACTTAGAAAGAACACATTGTGAGACAATACCAAAAAACTGGGCATACACCAAAAGAGGAGGAGGACGTAGAGCAGGATGTAGGTCAAGATAACATCAGAGAAACTCTACAACAGTACGATGTGTTTATGGTCGAGGCAGCAGGAACAGCAAGATTCAGAACCTTGTAACAGTATTACTAACACCCTAAGTCAGGGCTATTCAACTAAGTTTTCTCGCGGGCCAAAATGTTGAGCATGGAGATCTGCACCGGCCAGTGGCCCGAGCCCTCACTACAATTGACATTTTCAATTTGTAGATTTAATACACTCGAAAACTATTACGCCTAGGACTTAGACTATACAAATGAAGCAGTTTTGTAAACCATTATAATGTAAAATGTACTTATAATCTTCTGTAATGATTAATTAATACTCATTTTTAATTCTTCTTCGTATTCGCCAGCTGTAAACTTCTGGACTCTAGTCCTGTTCCAGAAACTGAGTGTTGCGTACACATCCGTTTGCATGCAGACTGTGGGTTCCTTGGCTCCAAGGCAGATGTACTCCGACTTCGGAGGAAGCTCCCAGTTAGTCGACTCTTGCAACATTCTTTTGGGTAGGCAGTGGGTCTATTCTCGTTTCCCCACTTTAGACCCCCCGGAACCCACACGGTGATCAATTTTAATTGAAATACACGTATTTCCAACTTGTTGGGATCATAAATAAACGTTACTTTTGTCACTTCCAGTATATTGTCACAATAATAATAACAACCGTCCACAGTTGGTTTCATGTTCTGCAGAAGAAACCGAAAAGGTATAACGATGCAAATGTAATTAATGGAAAATGCTGCGTTTTCGTTTTTGAGCTATTTTTACCAAATGTGGTTGGTGAGAAGTTAAAGCAATTCTCATGCAGTCCTGCAGCCTATCATTGTTTAGTCAGCTCCGACTGTTTGTCTTGATGACATTCATGTGTGATAAGCTTGATTCATAATTGAAAGTTAAGCCAGACATGGTGAGTATGAATACACCAACGTTTTTAGCATTAGGGAACTGCTCCTGTTGGATCCTCTAGTACCAAAACTTGGCGGTACCACTTACTTGAAAATCTTCATTTACTGCGCTGGAACTTTGGATATCCACAAGTTCTAACTGTAGAGAACCATATTCAACAGAGGATAACAACTTCTTAGCATTGAAAGAAAAATCACATGCAGGGGGAATTTTAAAAGGATCACGAACGAATAACATTGTTTAGGATACTGAAGTCGTCAAATCTGTTGTTGAAATTATTCTGAAGCTTTTAAAAATATTTGTATCATTCGATCGGTTAAGGTTGCCGAGTCAGTGTTTAAGAAATAAAATAGCAAGCATTCTGATTTCGAATAAGGCAGAGTTGGTGATAAAAATAAATATGTTAGTGTCCAGTCACTGTTGAGTGCACGATTTTCACATTCCCACTTTGCTCGCTTACTAGTGCTAGCCATGGTATCAAGTATTTAACTAAATTATTTAAAGTTGATAATTTAAAACACAGTTAATGATTCAGTCTGTTACTGTAAAATCGCGTCCTTCAATCCACGGCTGACTGTGACTTGTATGTGACTGGACGTTCTTCTGGACGTTATAATCTGATAACAAGATCACTAGCAGGTATTCTGAGGTGTCCAGTGTCTGATGTTCTACTGCATCCAATGTCATTAGTTTGTGTATACTAGTGGCGCCAATCTAAGCTCTAACTGTCTGGACAGGGCTGATATCTCCGTAAGCGTCTTGTCCAATAAATATCTCACATTCATTGAATGTCCAGTGCAGCGGTGGCCTTCCTACTTGTTACTTGATTCTTTCCAGTCTATCGTATTACCTTTGGCTTCAAACAGTCGAGTTTTGCTATTTGAACGAACTAGGAACGAACTTTTACCCTGATATAATTACGTTTTCTGTTCCTATGCCAGTTCAATTGTATCTTCGCATTTACAGATTCCTTACAAACACTTCCTATTGACACATTCGACGCTACTGGTTTTTGAAGAATATACAGAAACATTGATTTATTTAATTTTTTTTTTCTTTTCAATAACTACATTTCGCAATTTTGGCAACGTTCGGCGGGCCACTTGCAAGGCCTCGGCGGGCCAGATTTGGCCCGCGGGCCGCCAGTTTAATAGCCCTGCCCTAAGCGGTTCAAGAGGAAGTAGATAGGTTGCAGAAGACTCTTCTTTGTTTTGAAATCAGATCTGCGCTTGCTACCTCTTTAGCTTTGGTGTGTAGAGAAGATATCTCTCTAGAGCTGCTGTTGTTGGTGAAAGTTGGAAGACCAGCCAGACCAGCGGAGTGATGGACAAATTTCTTGTTAAAACACCACGAGTCAAGTCAGACACGGGAAATGTAGCTTCCTCTTCCAGAAAACAGTTAAAACAAAAGACGATTCATTCTTTGAAGGTATTTAAAAAATATATTAAACCGTTTTCAAACAACTCAATGTGGATATAGTCTACTTACTACTAATTATTACTATTATTACTATTAGTACTATTAAATACTACACTACTAACTAGTAACTACTACAACAGTACTATTAGTACTAACTAGTAGTAGTACTAATTATAATAATAATAATATAGTACTTTAGTAGTATTAATTTATTTTTGTTGAGATCATGGGAAATGAAATGCATTCCATTTAATACTACACTGTCACTACACCCTTTTCCTGTGTATCCTTCATGTGTACCCCACCCTTCCACGCACATATTTTGAAGATGTAAATAAATATTTTAAACAAATTATTTGAGTGAATTTGTATACATACAACATTTTTCGTAAGAAGTTGTTCTGGAATTCCAGCAGGATCGTCCCTTTTTTTTCAAGTGTTCCCAGAGTAACTCCCTAACTAAACTAACTTAGTAAGCGCTAGACTAGACTAAAAAAATTCCCCCCCCCCCCCCATGTGTAAAGCTAATACACCACCACAAGCAAGTTGTAATTAATTAACTAATTAGGGGTGTTTCTTTTAAAGTACATCTTCCTGAGAGGCAATGAGCAATGAACCAACAGTCTGATGAATCTGCATATATACAATACACACACATCTGTAGGTAAGATTGATCTCCAGGCAAACTGGAACAAGACTAAAGTGAAGTCCAGAAGTGAATGAAAAAGCCTCAGTCACGTGTCAATTACGCACTTCCGGGGACTATAACACCAGCGCTGAACTGCAAACTTCTGGTGACTTCCGCCCCCGCTGAGAGTAAATAAAATGAAGGGAGCTGCAGGAGATGCGGTAGCTTCTGCTCGTAAGTCCCAGCCATCTAGTTTAGCCCCAATCCAGGCCACGTGAGTGGCTTGGGGGTACTCTCGGCCGTGGCGGAAGTGCGCAATTTAAGATGACAGAAATGCGCAATTGACACATGACTGCGGCCCTGTTAGAGTGCATTTTTCGGCTCAATAATTTAAGACCATATTTTGGAGGATAGCCGGAAATTATTATGGTTTGACCCATTAAGTTCAGTTTAATAAGATCCTAATAATGGCATCCATCAGTCCCTGGGAACTGTGGAGATGTGCTGCTGTCTTTGGGAACAGCATCTGCATCTGTAACGTCTGATGTGGGAGTGGCAGTCTCCGCCACATAGGATACACACAAATGTAGATACTCCCTCAATATGAGGCTGATTTTCTCTCCGGTGTCACTATTTATAGCTCATTTCATTTGGTTTCTTTCAAATTGCGACAATCTGTCTTTCACTTTCTTTCACAATAGTAGTCCACCTGCAGCTGATTTTTCCTAAATCCCTATGCCTATGTTGGTATCTATCAGGTCACATTTGCATATGTCTTTATAACATAGCTTTGGCCTTCCTGTAGGTCTGTTTCCAGTTCACGATATAAGATGTCCTTTGGAATACAACCATTCTCTATGCGGGAGACATGTCCCTGCCAGCACAGACATCTTTGTTTCAGAAGACCATACATTGATGGTGTTTTTGCTCTTGTGAGGTCTTGCCATGATATGCCAAGGATGTGCCTCGTACAATGTACATGGAAAGTATTCAGTCTCTTTTCTTGACGAGCATATATAGTCTCGGATTCGTTATCGTACAGTAGCGTACTCAAGGTACAAGACTCATAAAATTTCATTTTGGTATTATCAGTCAGCCTTTTGTAGTTTGACTAGACTCTCGTAGTTAAATTTAAAAACATCGCACAGGCCTTTTCCTATTCATCTATTTAACTTGCATCTAGGGAATGATCGCTTGAGATTCGTGAGCCTTGGTACTCAAACAACAGCTGTTGGTCATAAACACTAAAGCTTGGTGGGTTTTCAGCATTCATTCCCATCACTTGCGCTGTGTTCAGACTGAGGGCAAGCCCAAATTCTTTAAATGCGTTTGCAAAGCAATTCATGATGGTCTGCAGATCATCCTCTGAGTGTGCCACAATGGCTGCATCATCTGCACAAAAAAAATCCATGAGGCATCTCGTGTGCACCTTTGTCCTTGTACGTAGCCTAGACAGATTAAAAAAGATTGCCATCTGAGATATATCCATTCGGTGGCTGTCCCGAATGCACGCCTCAATAATGCAGTAAAAAAAGATGTTAAACAGCATGGGAGCCAGAACGCATCCTTGCTTCACTTACGAATCTGGAAGGGTGAAGATGGTGAATCCTCATATAATAAGATCTTACTTTTATAACATTAAATTCATTGAGAAAAAAGACTGAATGGTTTGAACACCTAGTATAGTGAACCCAGCGATACTACAAGATAACTTGTATGAGTTGCAGACAGCTTTCCCTTTGTAGGATTTAGTGCCCTATTGTTTGGGGGGGGGGGGGGTTAGACCCACTGGTCCTCTAACAAACATGTTGTGCAAGGCATCTTATTAGGGATGTTTCCTTTGACGTGAGGGTGCATTTGCCTGAGATGTAAGGAACTAACATTATGCATACAAACTAGATCTGTGAAATGGATGTGCACACACTCAAGTTCTGGAACAGGACCAAAGTGCAGAAGTGGACCAACAACCAGAACTTTCTGCTGGAGTTTACAGTTAGTGAAGGCTAAGAAAAAGAAGAACTGTTTGCTTAAAGACCTCACAGCATACAAGGCAACCAAGCCTGCCCTGGCTTGCTACCCGTCATCTATTAAAATTAAGGGGGCTGCACTAGCGCAGTCAATAGGAGACTCACTTTGAAATCCAGCTGCAACTCGCTGCAGGCCACGGCCAGTGTTCGAAACTGGGTGGTTCCTGGGGTCCACCCAGCCTCTAGGTAATGGGTACCAGAGTTAACACTCTGGGGTAAATGGAAAAATGTCGCTCTAGCTACGGAGTTGCGTGCCGACAGCAACACAGGCGGGCAGTTTCTTATCAGCTGTCACTTTTTTTTTTATAACCGTGCGTAATGATTCTTGTTTATAACTCCTGACTTTACCTTTTATCTTTTTATCTATTAAACTGGTACCTGATGGTAGGAAACAGGTAATAATTTTTTTTAATTCTCTTAATACAAAGCAGAATCTGGGTATAATTTGTGAAACAAAATTATTGTAAATGTTCTCTTAGTTCTAATAATATAAATTGTCTTTTCAGGGAGTGGTGGTTGTCGAAGATATTGAGCGGTTGAAATCAAAATTGGAGTTATCAAGCCAAAGCACATCTGTGTTAATAAGTTCCCTGCAGCAATTAGGCAAAAAGATTCCACCACGGAATGTGTTGGTATCAACTAAAATTGGTTTGTATTTTTTATTTTTATAAATAAGAAATTCTTTCACATTTCTTACTCATTGTTTGAGATGGTATTTTAAATTATAGGACACCCCTCCTGTCTCTCTGTGGCCTCTCCCTCTGTCTCTCTGTGTTTTTTTTTTTTCTGTCTCTTTGTCTTAGCACTGTCTCTCTGTATGTCTGCTTCCTTCTCTTCTCTCTGCATCTCTCTCCTTCTCTTCTGTCTTTCTTCCTGTGTGTTCTCTTTCTCTCTGAACCCCCCTCCCCAACACACGACTTATGGACCATAAGATGTTTTACACACAGTCCCCCTCTGCAACAGGATTGCTTCGAGCAGAGTGGCAAGCTTCACTTGCAAGGTCACGGGTAGTGAGCATACTTTTGGATCTTTTCTCCAGGGAATGCCGGCGTGGTGGGGAATGAACAAGCAGACAGACTAGGTGGTGAATTGATGCATGACAAAGCAGATGTGGTCAGGGCCTTTTGGGAACAAGTAACAAAGTCAAGGAGAAAATGGGCAAGAATGAGGCACCTGGGTGTGACCATTCACACTACTATCACTACGACTGGCACCATTAGTATTTGAACTCTGCACTGGCTGCGGAGGATGGGGGCGGAGTGCATATGGAAATGCCCTGAGTGCTGTGATGTCAATTCTCAATTCAACAGTGCTAAGAGATTAGAACAATTTATAAACATTAGAAATCATGTCCATGGAAAAACTCCATTAATGTTTCAGTAACTACAAGGAGGCTGTTTGGTCCTGGCTACCCAAATTTAGAATTCATTTTATTATTACTTTATTGTTTTGGAATATTTAATGTTTGCTCTCCTATGTTTTTAAATTGCAGTGAAATGTCTGTTGTTGTCCACTTAGGTCACACTGTAAATAAGCTCAGGAGACACCCAGAAGAAGATGTTGCCAAGGAAGCCAAAGCTGTTTACATCAAGTGGAAACACTTTTATAAGGAACATCTCAGTCGACCACAGATTGAGGTCATGTGCGACACAAAGACCCAGAATTTTAGAAATCGGGGAAAGAAGTTGTTATCTGAAGCTTTGAGAGTTGAGGTATTCATTTATGACAATTTTTATCTATTTGTATTTATTTATTAATTAGGAACAAACTAAAAACAGTTTGTAAGCAAATGAGACAAGCAACAGATTGCAAAGTTTGTTATCTGCTGAGATTAAATACAACACATGAATATACTTGACCGAAGTACATACAAACACAATGGGCAGTTGCCAGAGAACTGGTGATGCCCTATGTGATTAATTGCATGTGCAGCTACTGATCTGTTGCTTCCATCTGTAATGAGCTGCATTTATAGTGTCAGACTGTTTGCCTTGGCATTTCTGATGACTGCCTAATGCATTTCATGTATGTGTATGCTATTTGATTAGCTGAGACTGCAGACTGTGTCTGTTTTTGCTGGCACAGTGTGTTATGAAGTTTAAACCGTGATTACCATACACTGAAATAAAATTCAGTATTATGTTCCTAATAGTGACCATGTTCCAGTTATAGGAAAAATTAGAATAAAACTAAAGAATATTAAGAAATCACTGGAGAACATCAAGTTAAATTTAGGAATTCTTAGAATGGATAAAGAAATTAAGGAACAGTACAATGTCACTGTACAAAACCAGTCTAATGCAATGGAAATTACATAGACTATTGATGAAAAGTGGGATATGTTGCTTCAGTCAGTTCAGCAAATATCAAAAGAGACAATCTCACCAACCCATAGAGTTGCAAAAAAGAAATGGATGTCAACCAAAATTTTGCAGTTGGTGGATGAAAGAAGGAAGAAAGAATGATAAAGAAGAATACTCTAGTATACAAAAAATAATGAACAAAATTGTACAGAGGCTGGGTAAAATTACAGGAAAGACTCACATTCCATATACCAACAGATAAATATGTTAACAGGAAAGATGACATGTAACAGTTTAAGATCAAAAGATGATGACTTATTAATGGGACACTAATATAATTAACAGATGGACAGAGTAAAGAGGGGCATTGTATGATGATAATAGACCAGGTATAGAACTGCAGACCAACAATGATGGTCCACCAATAATAACTGCAGAATTTGAGGATGCAATACATCATATGAAGAAAGGAAAAGCACCCTGGCCCAACCACATCTTACTGGAAGAAATCAAAGCACTGGGAGATTTTGGAATTGAAATAATAGCTAAACTTTTAAATAATATTTATAATAATGGGCATATTCCAAATGACCTTTTAAAATCCATATTTATAGCTCTGCCAAAGAAAATGGCACTTTAAAATGTGAAGATGATCCCACAATAAGTCTTATGAGTCATATGATTTTACTGAGAATAATTATGAAAAGAATAAGAAACAAAATTAAACCAGAAATCAGCGAAGAACAATGTGGATTTGTAGAAGGAAAAAGGTACAAACAATGCCATATACATCCTCAGGACATTGTCAGAAAGAGCTATAGAAGTAAAGACTGATTTGAACATATGCTTCATAGACTATACAAAAGCATTTGACTGTGTGAAGCATAAAGAAGTAATCAAACTTAAAAAAATTAAACATTGATAGAAAAGATCTACGAATAATAATAATCATCATCATCAGTTCTCATAATGCCTAGTGGCACATGAGGCTTCAGAGAGGACTTTCCATGCTTTCCTGTCCTGTGCAATCTTCAGTGCAGTTTTCCATGTCAAAGATGCCGCACTCAGGTCACTTTCCATCGTTCGTCTCTATGTTGTTTTTGGGCGCCCCTGTTTTCTCTTTCCCTCTGGTGTCCATGTGAGAGCTGTTTTGGCAGGTATATCAGAAGTCATTCTCATAACGTGGCCAAGCCATTTCCATCTTCTCTTGGTAATCATACTGTCTAAAGTTTCTTGGTTTGTGGCTTGAAGTGGTTTAGTGTTTGAGATTGTATCTGGCCAGAAAATTTTGATAATTCTACGTAGACATGTGTGGTGGAAGGTGGACAGCTTGTGTGCATCCTTTTTGGTCATTCTCCAGCATTCCGCTCCATAAAGAAGAACTGGCAAAATGATGCTCTTGTAGAGTCAGAGTTTGGTTCCTCTGCAGTGTTGGATTTCCAGATTTGCCTCATCCTTCCAAAAGCAGCTCTAGCTTTGTTCAGACGTGACTGTATGTCTTCCTCTGTCCCTTCCAGTAGGGACACCACACTGCCAAGATATGTGAAATGTTCTACATTTTCAAGTGATTGGTTATTTATGGTCACTGGTTGTTGGTTTGGACTGTTTGTCATGATCTTAGTTTTCTTTGTATTTATTCTCAATCCCACCATTTCTGCTGTGCAGTTTAGTCTGTTACTTTTCTCTTGTATATGTTCATGTTTATGTGATAGGAGTGCTATATCATCTGCAAAATAAAGGTCCTCAAGCATGGTAAATGGAGTCCATCGTATGCCTCTTAATGTCCTGTCTACTGTGTTCTTTAGTATCTAATCAATCACAAGGTTGAAGAGGAGAGATGAAATAACACATCCCTGTCTTACACCCGTCTTTACTGAGAAAGATGTAATTTTTTATACTGCAGGAAAAGTCTTTATAGAAGAGAGCAATTATGTTGACTATTTTTTCTGGAATTCCATAATGTCGTAAAATTTTCAACAGACCATCTCTATGGACGCTGTCAAAAGCTTTCTCAAAGTCCACAAAATTAATATACATGCTTCTCTGCCATTCGTTGCATTGTTCTAAAATGTTACGTATGGTGAAGATGTGCTCAGTTGTTCCTCTGCCCTTTCTGAATCCTGCTTGTTCCACTTGTAGGCATTTATCTACTCCTTTTTCAAGCCACATTATGATGATTTTACAAAATATTTTGCTTGGTACTGAGAGTAGAGTAATTCCCCTCCAATTATTGCAGTCTGTCAAGTCTCCTTTTTTGGGGATTTTGACTATTGTTCCTTCAGTCCAGTCATCAGGCAACACTTCTTTTTCCCAAATATCCTTGAACAATGGTTCTAGAATGCTAGCAGTTGTGTTGGGATCTACTTTGAGAAGTTCTGCTGGCAGTTCGTCTTTGCCTGGTGCTTTGTTTTTCTTTAAAGTGTGGTAGCTTTAAGGATTTCTTGTTTGCTTGGTGGTTCAGTAATAATGTCAATGTCCTTAGAGGCTGGTTGAATATCTGAGGGATTTTCAGGATCAGGTCTGTTCAAGAGGTCGGAGAAGTGTTTAGTCCACTGCATGTCTTGTTTTTGTTCTGTGGTGAGCAGTCTGCCTTGGTTATCTCTGATGGGTATGCTGTGATAATTGTTTGTTTCCGCAAATTTGCTGGGTAATTTTGTGTAGGGTTTGTAGATCGTGTGCTTTAGCAGCATTTTCTGCTGTTTCTGCAAGATTTTCCATAAATCTTCTCTTGTCAGCTCTGGCACTTTTCTTGGTCATTTTATTTAGTTCGCTATATTCTAACATTAGTTTGTCTTTCTGACGTTGTGATTTATGAGGCTCTTTATTCTTTTTCGCTTGGCAATAAAGTCCATGGTTTTACTACTAATCCATTCTTTGTGGTGTTGTTTCCTGGTTCCTAATATGTTATTGCTAGTTGATTTGTATGTTTCTTTGATCTGGTTCCATCTGTCTTGAATGCTGATTGTAGTTGGAGTTTCTGGGTCACTTGATAGGGTTTAAAATCTATTCTTGAGTTCTACTATAAATTTAGTGGCAATGCCTTTTTCTTATAAAAGGTTAACATTGTAGCGTGCTGTCTGTGTCTTAACTTGCGTGTAAACTTTTTTGAGTTTAAGTCGTAGTAGAGCGATTACAAGGTGATGATCGCTTCCCACATCTGCTCCCCTTTTGACACGCACATCGAGTAGGGATCCACGCCATTTTCTGTTTACCATGAAATGGTCGATCTGGTTTACATCTCTTCTGTTTGGGGGATATCCATGTAAGCTTGTGTATATTCATGTGAGGAAATAGTGTTCCTCCTATAACAAGTCTATTCGCCGTGCAGAAGTCACACAGTCTTTCCCCGTTGTCACGAATAACAAAGAATATGCATTGGCAGCAGAAAGGAGCTATAAGAATTAATAACTGTTTAGATACATTTCAAAGCATAAAGAGGCCTACGACAAGGAAGTGTACTGTCACCTGATTTGTTTTCACTATACAGTAAATATGTAATGAGATCTTTAATTGATATGCCCGGAATTGTGGTTGGTAGTCACGATATAAACAATTTACGTTATGCTGATTACACAGTCTTGATAGCAACAAGTCAGAAAGAACTACAGGAAATGATAGACATTGTGGTGTTAGAAAGTGGAAGAATGGGCCTCAGTTTGAATAATGGAAAGACAGAAGTAATGGTGGTATCAAACAAACAAATTATTCCTAAGTGTGTAATAAAATTCAATAGTGTTATTTTGGGACAAGTACAGAAATTTAAGTATCTGGGCACATGGATAACATGAGATGGATGATGCATAACTGAGATTAGAAACAGGATAGGACAGAAAAAAACTGCATTTTATCAAATGAAGAGCATCTCGTGCAATATATCTTTGTCATTGACAGTTAGAAAAAAAAATCTTGTTGCTACATACATCCATTTTTAACATATGGCTGTGAATCCTGGACGATCGGTAGGCAGGCCAAACAATTTCTTGAGACCTCAGAGATGTGGTTTTACAGAAGAATGCTTAGAATACCTTGGACAGCCAAAAAGAGCAACCAAGAGGTTTTGAAAGAGGCGGGAACCCGAAGACAACTTATCACAGACATCAGAAGGAGACAGTCATCGTTTTTCGGCCATGTTATGAGAAGAGGGAAAATAGAACATATTGTGACCACTGAAAAGATCTGTGGAAGGAGGGATAGAGCAAGACAACGAGAGAAGATTCGTGACAGTCTTGTTGCATGGCATGGAGGTGTGTCAGCACACGTACTGATACATGCTGCAGGAGATCGCAGATTGTGGAAAGGCATGATCGCCTACGCCTGTCGGCCAGGCACCTGATGATGATGACTATGTTCTTAAATTGACATCAGTTGATAACTTTGTTCCACCTTACTTTAGTTCCTTGAATACACCTAATGTTGTACAGTCATAAATGCCAGACAATAATTTCTGCAATCTATTGCTTGTATCTTCTTTAACTTTTTATGATTCAGAAGACTTTGCAGTTAGTGCCCTATGCGATAACAATCACAATAAGAAACACATTTTGTGGGGGAAAGGGGTGGGGTGGTGTAACAATGTCCAAGGTTAAATGTTTTAATATCTAACCAGATTTCTTTAGTGTGCTCAGACAAACCTGAAAGGCAGAACTTAGCTTTGTCTTGATTAGTACACAGTGATATCTAATCACACACTGTGCACTGTATGGGACAGAAAGAGTTCATTTTGTTAATCATCATCATCATGTGCCCTGCCAACTGGCGTAGGCGCTCATGCGTCTCCACAGATCATGATCCCTGGTTGCCCAGAACAGCTCTCTTGATGATTCACTCCATCCCGTCGTTTCAGCCTATCCAGCATCATGATCTCTTGGTCTGCAACTACCCCTTTTTCCACTGATCTTTCCAATTGTCACGATGTTCTCCAACTGTAATATATACAGTGTAAATAATTGTCTGTATTTTATAATAATGTTCTGTTAAAATGTTTCAGATTGGCCATGAGATTATTGAAGCAGTTGAAAAAGAAGCGTTTTATCAGCATCGACGTCTGATCAGTCCTGCCTATCGGAGGTCCGTAAGAAATATGGTCTTCAAATTGATGCACACAGATGAAGTCAGGAATTCTCTTCTAGGTGGACAACTGAGTGTTGAGGATTTTGTGAAACAGCACAATAAGGTTTAACTGTGAACAGACTGGAAGATATTCTTCAATGTTTCCTTTTATGAAATCATGGGTTGTATATAGGACTCTAGGGCACATCGTGTATATGGTTCTAGACCCTTTTTTTTTTATAGACAAATCATAACTTAACTGGTGATATATCAGCCACCTTCACTCCCTGGGTGTTCATTGGGGTTCAAGGTCAGTTATAAAAATGTGATTTTCCTGTAGACGCAATGTAACCTCCCGTCCATATGGGGGACGCAGTATTTCGTTATTTCAGAGCCCCACCCCCAGCTGTGGTCGGAGGCCCTAATATAACCTTACAGTTGAACAGGGTTTCTGGGACTTGTGCCTGAGTGATCCTCATCAGAATGGTGGCTTTGTGTCAACACATAGATTTTAAACCTATACCTAAAAGCTGGCTGGTAATCAGTCTGTATATCTGCATCTTTATGTACATTGACTGTGAACTCTGGTGAAAAGCCTTGGTTGTTCATCCACTTCTAGACTTTTGATGCACTGTTATCTCTACCTATGTTGGCCAGGTTCCCATTTGGAAACTGTTTCTAGGATGAATGCAGAATGTTGAATTAAGAATCCACATCATAGCATTTGGGACATACCGATAAGCTCTCTGACTCCATCTTTAGCAGCAAGCGAATAGTTCCAATCCCTATAGCACCAGTAACTGATTGTATATCCGTCTCGCCTTTCCGTTGAGTGTCGGGCCAATCTCCTAGTAACTCGTTGTAGCACCATTCTCCTCAGACCGTATTGATCTAACTGTGCCTCCACTTCCAAAGGGCCCTCACAACATCTAGCTTGTCATACATCAAGTCACCACCAAGAGGAGCAGAACCTGCCAGTCTATCTGCCTGCTCATTTCCTAACACACCGGTTATAACCCGAAGGAAAATATCCAAGCGACGCTAATTACCCGGGACCTCTGAAGTGGTGCTTGCAGAGAGGTGAAGATGTGTCCTGGCTTGTGTACCCTGGTTCTGATACTTCACCACGTGTGGTTTAAGACATCTGCATCCTATATATGTATGTAATAATAATAAAATACTGTGTAAATGTCACTGGTTTGTAAATGAATAATCACTCTCTCTGTGTGGGTTTCCTTGCCCCATTTGAGGAGAGGTCAAAAATAGACCCCCTCCCCCTTTATTTTTTCTTTCTAACATGCATCTTATAATGAACTAATTAGGGGTGTTTCCTTCAAAGTCTGCATCTGCCTGAGAGGGAAGGAACTGGCAAGTCTGCATACATGTAAGCCAGATCCATAAGGCCAGTGTGCTAGCCCATTGTGGGGGAATAAAAGTACACACTAACAAGCATGTTGACTAATTAGTAATGTTTCCCTCAAAGTCTCCGTGCATCTGCCTGAGAGGTCAGGAGCCAGCAGTCTGCATACAAATAAGCTAGATCTGTACAATGGATGTGCATGCAAACCTCAAGTTCTGGAACAAGACTAAAGTTCAGAGATGGATGAACAACCACAGTTTTCAGCGGGCGAACACGAAGAAGAAGTATAATCTCCAGTTCCACCACAAGCAATACAGTCTCCTGTCCATAAATCACACAAGCAGGATCTTAGCACACGTAATCCACTTCAGTGGCTAGGTTTCATATGTGTGTATATGTCAGCTTTCAGTAACATAGATTGGAGAGGGGACAAATCAAGATAAGGGCAAAAAGGTAAATCCTAGATGGCTTTGTCATATGAATGGGAAGAGACACACTAACGTGATCTGTGATGTGGTGTGGTGATTGTGTGACACAGCTTGTGTCACTGTGATTGTGTGACACTGGTTGTGGTTGTGTGACACAGCTTGTTTCACTGTGGGGTGGTTGTGTGACACAGCTGGTGCCACTGTGGTGGTGATTGTGACATAGCTTGTGTCGCTGGTGGTGATTGTGTAACCCAGCTTGTTTCACTGTGGTGTGATTTATTTGTACTTGGGCATATTATACTCACCATATCTTGTTTCTAGGAGTGAGCTGCATTGTTCTGTTGGTATTGTGTCTTTTCTGGTGAGCGTCTTGAAATATATGTATATGTCCCATATTGGTAGCTTAAATAATGTATAGTAGCTAACTAGTCTTTTTACCTTCAAAGTACCTGAAGTTAAATTTTTCCTGACCGGCTGGCTAATTGTTTGTCATTGATGTACTTGTATTTCTGTGCACACATTTCAGTTGATTTATTTTCTGATGTATATATTTACAAATGCATTTTATAAATATGTGCATATTTGTTAATACGCATTTTTATGTTAAAGGCTTGTTTTATAAAACATTTTGTTTTAATTGTTGCTTTCATGAAATTATTGATGTGGGTTGGAAGAATGTTGCTTGCACTAGTATTCACCATATAGTGCAGTTTTCTTTTAACAGATTTTTCCCCTCAAAATCCTAAGCCCTACTGAAGATGGAACACATTGTGTCAACTGAAAATGAATAGCGGAAGACAACGACCAAAGATTTTTGTTAGCCTTCCATTATGGCGTAGAATGACATTATATTATAATTACGTTCTGGTGGAGATGACTGATAATGTCATTTAGCAAGGCGCTTGTTGCTGTTTATATGGTTAATAATGTAAAAGATATGAAATTTCTTTTTTTAAACAGATTTTAATTCTTCTCTTTCTTCAAGAATTCAGCATTCACGCCAGCGACCACTTGCAATAAGTAAAGTATTTAGGCGTATTGGGCATATATGGCTAGACCTATATTTTTATAGACCAATTGAGACTTGTGTGATGCGGTCAGCACCACACTGGCTGCCTTTACTTTTCGAGACTGCTCCTGGTACCCACTCAAGGGTGGGTCGACCTGGGAGCAAAGGTCATTTTTTAAATTTAAAAAAGTCAGGCTCCATCAGGGCTTGAACCCACAACTTTCTGATTCAGTGTCTAGCCGCTTCACCACAGCAACTTCCAGTTGCAATAGTCATCGGCATCATCAATTTCCACTTCTGCCGTTAAGCATTGTGGGGAGGAACAGTTTGCGATCCAGTGCTTAATAAGCAGCAATGCCTATTGTCATTACGTATTGATGTAGAAGCTCTTTTATGTCATCAATCCATCATGTCCTAGTGTGATCTCTTGATTTCACTTCAGATCTTTCCATGTGTAGCACCTACGTTAGTAGTTGTTCTGGATGCATACTTACTAAATGTCAAAACCATTTCATCTTCTGTTTCTTAGTGAATCTGCTGCACGGTGTTGTTCCTACAGACTCATCATCGTGTGCCCTGCCAACTGGCGTGTGCACATGCATCTGCACAGATGCCTGGAACAGTTCTCTTGATGATACCCCCCCCCCCTTCCCCCCACCATGCCATCATTTCAGCCCATCCAGCATCATCTCTCTTGGTTTCTACAGACTGATAACATCATTTCTAACTTTGTTTTGGATGGTTAAGTTGGCGGCTGCTTTTCTAAGGCATCTCATTTCACAGGTGTTAGTGTTAACTTTCTGGAGGTTAGCCTTGGATAATGTCCAAGTCTGACACTGGTTGCACAGTGTTGGTATAAATATGCTGCTTCCCGGCTATCATATTTATGTTTGGATGTCTTAATAATGGTGTCAATCGGTATATAAGTGCACTGGCTGAGTGGCATCTTGTTTCTATTTCCCAGATCTATTCTCCCATCCTCCGAGAATATGCTCCCTAGATATTACATTGTTTAACTTGCTTCATACATGTACCATTTAACCCGATATGTAGCAGACTAGGAATTCTGCTGACCTAGTGTACTTCAGTTTTAATAGTATATATTTTCATTTTATATCTTCTGCATGTTAAACTTAGCCTGTTCAAATGTTCTTGCACTCTACTCCTCTGATTGTCTGCAAATAGTAGCTCATCTTTTGTGGATCTAATTCTTCTTCTGGAAAGTAAAGTTCCTCATTTTTTGGGCCAGCATCTTTAAAGCTTTGCAATAGTAAAAAAGTAATATTACAACTGCATTTTGTGATAAGTAAATTTTATTAGTAAGCTTCAAGTGCTAACATTTTCTTAATTTCACTTAAATTAAACAAGTCTGCAGCTTTTATTAGATCCAATTTTTATTCTTAAGGCTCTATGGTCATACTATAAAATAACCTAAACAAATCAACAACAAAACTATAATGGGAAATTGATGGCTTGAATTTCTTAAATCAGTGCTGGGTTAGAACAATAGTCAACCATATTAACCTTTAAAAATAATCTGTCAATCACTCAATCTTGTCTTGGTTGTACAATCTCCAAAACTGCTCTTGATGTTGTCCTGCCACTTTTTGTATCATTGTCTAGCTCTTGCCCTCGACCTCTCTTTCAGTGTAGGATTTTTTGTTTGTGTGGCTTTTTTGTGTGTAAAGCATTGTCTTTTAATATGTTCAAAATATTTCAGTTGCCTCTTCTTTTTAATTCTGTCAGTAATAATAATCTAATTCAGAGATTAAACAGCATGGCAAAGCACTAGTAAATTGGTCAAAATCTTGTGATCATGCATTTTCCTGTGGCAACTTACAGTTTTGAGTCCTGGGCTCTTACTCAGTCACTGAGGAAAAAGATTTGAGCTTTTGAATTAAAATGTTCTAGAAAAAACTTTTGGGATACCATGGATCAAAAAGAGATCAAACATCAACATTCTAAATGAGTTAAACATTGGGAAGAACTGGCCCATAAACTGCATCCTGTCCTGAAAGTATTTTGGCCACGTCAAGTTTTATGATGGCTTGGGAATGACAGTGATGGAGGATGCAGTTTGTAGAAAGCGAGGCAGAGGTCGACCACTGTGAAGATGGATACAGGACATTAAAGATGCATCGGCTCTGAAAGCACACAGGGCGGGAGAGCTGGCTAGGGAAAGGGAAACTTTCAGGCGTGCCGTGAAGAGTGCAACATTCTGTAAAGGACTTGCTGATTGATGAGGATGAATAGTAATGTCAAAACATATTCTCCACCCCCTTTTTTTTTTCTCTAAAGCCGATTAAAAATATATTTATAGTAAAAAGAGATATTTGCCCCTGGGTGGTTTTATTTACAAAAGGATGTTTTTTCTGCCTTCACCCTTAAAAGGTTGATTGGTGTGTGGTCACATGTATGACTGCAATATTTACGCCTTTCAACCCAGTGCATCCACTTTTAGCAAAGTCCTTATTAGTTGTCTTTTACAACCTGCTTGTTGAAGAGAGCTGGTCTATTCTATTGCCCTCCTCCAGTGAGGCTGCGGAACCCACGCATGGACAGAGAATTCCAGAAATTTTTTTTAAAGTAAAGGTCCTTTTTCCACGCCTTCTGGCGTACAGGGTTAGACCTATATTTTTATAGACCAATCTGCACAAGATGGGTGATGTGGTCAGCCGCCTTTGCTTCCTGTGACTGCACACGGTACCCACTCAAGGCTGGGTTGAACTAGGAATCAAGGTCATATTTGGAAAAATATCCAGCTCCACCAGGGAGTGAACCCACGACCTTCCGATCCACATGCGAGCGTATTCCAGAAAATACTGCTTGTTAAATAGTTATTTTTAACACAGTGAGATTTAGAGTGAACATAAGGTGAGCTGAAAACAAAAGATAGGATGAAATGAACTGAGTTAACTGACAGCCTGTGCTCTACTGAGGGATAAAGAGAGGAAAATAAAGGGATATTTTTTTCTGTCTTTTTTTGTCAACAACAAAAAGAAGAAAAAAAAAAATATTTAGGTTCGTCTTTTTTCATCAGTATCCACTCTGAGCCACTAGGCATCACAATCATAGTTTAACAGACAATAGATAGCGGAGCCAGGACAAGCTCAGTTCCTTGGTATGTTGTGATGTTGTAAAGCCTTAGGCTATCACTGACTCCCAACTATTCCTCTTCTTGGTCTCCCTCTCCTTCTTAATTTTTGTATCTCTCACTGCTGGTATGGCTGAATTCATTCTCAGTATGTGGCTAAACCATTTCAGTCTTAATATTTATATACATGATGATAAAATGTTGTTAAATATAACCTATCTAGTTATTTGTGTAAGTTAACACTATGACTTGGTGCTCACCTGTGGATCAGAAGGTCACTGGTTCAAATCTGTATAGAGCCTAAGTTATTTTTCTGTGAAAAATGACCTTGGCTCAAACCAGCCTTAAATGTGTATCAGGTAAAGTGCTGTGAAGTAGAGATGGCTTGCTTGATGTTGACCACATCAAATTCCAAGGACTATGTGTGTGGCGGGGGGAACTCAGGAAGGGAATAGGAAAAAGAAAAAAGTGACTGCAGATAGGATGAAAGCTGAGAATCTGAAATAAAGCACACAAGTTAAAATGGCCCTGCCATTAAATATTTTCAAAATAAAACTCCCTGTGATAAGTTAGTGGGTTGGATTTCAAACTCTACTGAGCAGCTGTTCTGCACAGAGAGACTGAGCCATGAGGGATATTGTTAATTAGTTAGTTGGGATATGATCATTTCACTCTAGACATGTCCATAGGTGCTCAGATCTTTCCCTCAGTATGAACCCCAGCGTACTGTGACTAATAGTGTCAGTTCTTTGTTGACTGATAAGTCTTTTTGTATGCTCAGTGTGTCTCGCTTTTGGCTATGCCGATCTTAACTCCCAAGCCTTTCATTCTGGTGAGTAATGTGTAATCACTGTCTCCTAAGTCCTCCACTGTTCCCACTTCTCTGTGGGCAATAACAGTATCAGCATGATCCATAGGTTGACCTTCAGCAGTGAAGCAGATCCAGCTAACTTATCAACTCTTTTGTTTCCATTTAGGCCTGTGCATGAGGGATATAACCTGGTGTAATAAAGTCAGTTCTCATGGTTTTAAACAACCTGTTAAACTTATAAAATTGAAAATGTAATAAAATTATATTAAGTTTAAAATAAATCAAAACAAGATAAAGCTATTTTTCCAATAGACAATAGTCTTGGCAACCTAGCCAAATGTTTAACTGGGAAACTTTCTCTTCATCTGCGCCTCCAGTGATTCAGGGATGCTGAAATAATCCACACTTTTTACAGTTCCACTCTTATCTGTATAATGTTCCCTGTGTGCTTGTGCCAGCTGAAAAGACAGACCAAAAAAAAAGGATGTTGAGCTCATTTCGTCATATTGATAACAAATTCATTAGTTTTTCTCTAGTCTATAATACTTTTAAATGTATATATTGTCCCAAATAATAAGCTGTGTAATAATCTGTTGCTTGTGTGTGTCAGTCAATGAATCGTGTTGCTATGTGTTTTACATTTGGTCTGAGTATACCAAGAAATCTGACAACATGCAGCCCTATATGTTTTATGCTAAGTATATATGTTGCCTGTATAAAAAGTACTACATGTATACTTATTTCATTGCGGTGCTCAAGTGTTTTATAAATGTATTTTTTTTTTTGGGGGGGGGGGTGGGGGGGGGGGGGGGGAACTATCAATATCCCTCAGGTAAGATCAGCAGTTTCAGATTCTCTAGATCCCTGGGCAGCAGAAAGTTAGTAAGTTCCAACAGAAGATGTTCGCTGTAATAGATAAGATGTCGCTATCCCGGCAAAATGTTTTTTTTTTAAATCAAAAAGCTACTAAAAAATGTAATAACTGTAGCATGCAAATACTTTAAATAACAAACAGGCATGACTGTCAAAGGAAATCAAACACAATAATGTCTCAAGAACACATTCAAGGTGATAAATAAATGTGATTTTAGAAAATATTTATCTTCAAAATGATAATTCATTAAATAACACATGTTGCAAATTAATTAAATGGTAGTTTAATTTGTGTATAAATCTACTGGATAACAATTGTTACTACTGACTGGCCTTGACAGCCTCATAAAAACGGGAATTCCCGTTTAAGTTATTACAGCTCTAAATATGGAGCTTTCCGTGAATCATTGTAGGTGGGTAGGCCATAGCAGTTACAACCTTTAAGGTGTAAAATAGGCCTTCAGATACCACATAAGGTATTGGAAAAAGCATGCACAACAACAGCTTTCTCAGTGCTCATTCTCCAAAGGCTCAGGTGGCTGACTCACACTTGGAGAACTGGAGAAGGTATAGTCTCTAAGGACATCCTCCATGATGAACTACAGATGGGTAGAAGATGTTAAGGCCAGCATCTACTAGGATATAAAGATGTGTACAAGCTGGACATCAGTTATTCACGAATTGAGGTAGATTTGTGGATCAAAGTGCCAAGGACTACATTGTGTGGAGGGGCACAATCAGCAAGTGAATGGGAATACAGAAAAAGTGACTGCAGAAAGGATGAACATTTGAAAAGAAGCACACTAAATATATGTGATGGCAACATGGTCCTGAAATCCTTTAATGTTATTGTGGGAGACTTTTCTTAACATGGGCGGGTCTTGCTAGTCCCACTCGCCATCGACTTAGGCGGTGATTCCCATCCCTCCACATAACACAGTAAAATACTATTATCTGGAAAGATAGAAAGGTGCCAACACATACTCTGCCAGCTATGGCATACAAGATGGTGAGGCCAGTTTCCATGTTTGTTACTTTTGCAGCAGACATTTAAGAGAATTATTGGTGTTAACAGGCTGGGGCGACCCAAGAGCCTTATAAAGGACCTTTTTCATTCCCTCAGGCGTACTGGGCATCTTGCTGGACCTATAGTTTATAGACCGGCTGACACTCTGGGTTATGTGGTCAACATCATGCACGCCACCTCTACTTTACCTGAAACATATTCAAGGCTGGTTTGAGCCAAGATCATTTCATTTTTTAACGAAAAATGTCAGGCTCTATTCAGATTTGAACTGTGGAAAGAACAAACTAACAGTTAACATCCACAAGACTCCATCAACAGAAAGCAACATACAACAATTTTCCAACACTGCAGCCTTAACTACCACATGTATAAAATAAAGATTGTACAGTAACCACAGTGTGACCAGCCCACTCTACTTTAACTTCGAAAAGACACCCGGCCTCAAGAGCAAAGTGTGCAGAGCAAGCTTTGGGGAACCATGAAGGACCTGCTACTGACATGCAAGTTCATAGAGGTCTGATCTGAGCATACAAAACCAAATGCGAAGAAGAAGAAGAAGAACCACTGAACTTCTGATCCACGTGTGAGCATCCAGTCCATTACACAATGCTGGCTCTCCAGAGCCATATGAGTAAAAACCAGAGAGATGAATGGAGGCAGGTGATATTTGCAGCAATGAACCTCAAGGGTTCAGAATGCTGAAGAATAAGAACATGCGTACAAAAGACCCTTACAGTGTTAAACTGGTACAGCTCCTCTTTGCTGTTATGATCCACATTAGAGAGTTGGTATCTTGGAGCCAAGAGCCGGCTATCTTGAGTTCTGGTTCTGTTACTGATAACCAGGTCTGGGTTGTGAGAGTATAATGTAGGGAATGATCCACCTTTGCTGTAAGGGTCAGCTGCACTGGTCAGGACAGAGGACCTGTAATCTTGAAAGTATTTTGCTGTTTGATTTCCGTACGTCTCGCCATAGTCAAACTTGATGGTGGGGCAGTAACCACGATACCTGAAAAACCAACAACAGCAGCAAATGTTAACAAACTTGTGAAGCTGTATATCAGACATACTTCATTCCCAATCTTATTAGTATGCTTTTTCTGCTTTGAAGTCCTAGTGGAGCATAGGCCCTCAAAAGCTAAGATTTTAGGACGTCTCCATGGCAAAGTGGTTAAGCCATTTGCCTTGCACTCAGATTGCTGTGGGTTCATTTCACAGACACATTGTTCAGTTTACAGAAGTGCAGATCCCAAGGAATTTTCACCGGGGCTATGAAGTTCTGGGTTTGTGCAATGCTCCTGGTTGGGGGCTTTGACATTCTGGGGAGACAGACTGAGCCATGTGAGATAAAACCTAGTGCAATGAAGTTTATCTTCTCAACATAGACAAGAGTAGGTTATCTGTAGACTTGTTCGTCATTGCTTAGTTTGTTAGTTAGTCGAGGTTCCATCATCACTGCAGATGGGCCGCCTCATAGCTGCTCAGTTTCTTTGCCAGTAGACATTCAACAAAATGTCCGTCACTGTCGCATTTGAAAACTAATGAAAAAAACTGTCAGATGCACCAACACTAACAGTCCCAAACTTGAACTGCACTTCACTGCTTGCAGAAACAGTCAGTCACAAATCTGACAATGTGCTCACAAAATTACAAGCCATTATGAATGTAGTAGCCATTTGCCAATTTTAGTGCAGTCAACAACATGCTACAGTCTCAACAGAAAAAGAAAAAAAAAATCAGCACTGGTTAGATCATGCAGCAAAATTTTGTTTATGGGATGATGAGGCTGGTCTCAAGCCAAGCCTCCTTGGTTGCTTCTTATGGCATTCATGATAGGTTAAAGGTACTATTCTTTCAACTCTTATGGGCACTGGTAGCATATGGAGGCATGTGCCATGATGTTGATCCGTTGAATAAACATAAACATTGAAGTCATGAATTAGCAACGAAAATAACTGTGTGGCTGGGGGTCGCCACAACATGAAGAACTGTATTTAAGGGTTGAGAGCCACCCCTTAAGGGCTGTCCATCTGCCTTTCCTATTAATTCCTATGCATTTCTTTTGCCTCTCAACACAGTTATAGCAGACAACAGAATAGAATACATTTTTTTTTTAAATAAAGTTTTTGTATATGAATTCTGACATCTTAGGTAGAAAAGTTACTTTTTCAAACTTACCATTATTCTTTTCTCTGATAATGTGCCTATTTTTGTCTTTCCCTTGTTTGTTGTAGTGGTGTAATCATATATTTGCACAATAGTTAAAATTCTCAGAAATGAGGCAAAGAAGTATAGTGGCTGAATATGTATTCCATTGACCAGAAAGTCTTGAGTGTAAGTTGAGTTGAGTCAAGAATTGACATCACAGCACTCAGGGCATTCCTATGTGTCCTCCGTCCTCATCTTCAGCAGTCAACACAGGGTTCCATTGTACACACCATTACACGGTCAACTGTTCTTCGCAACAGAAATTCGCCACATCTGATATCTCCTTAAGTGGTTTGCCTGTGTCAGGTAATGTTCTGGGAAGTAAAGGCAGTCAGCATAATGTTGACCACACCTTACGAGTGTCGACTGGCCTTGCACCATTTACTTGGTGCACTATTATATTATTGGCGTGTAAAAGGTCCTTTCCTAAATTCTCTGAGTAACTTGATTTGATTTGATTCAAGAACTGCTTCACAGCACTCGGGGCATTCCCATAAGTGCTCCGACCCAATCTTCAGCAGCCAGCGAAGAGTTCTGATAATAATGGTGCCAGTAGCATTCTGCTTAAGCGTTCGTCTTTCCTTTCCTCTGAGAAACTGGGAATTACAAATTCAAATAGAAACAGTCAGACTTAGTCATATATGAACATAAAAATTATAAATACGTATTTAAAGTAGCATCATGTACCTATTAACTGTTAACTATGAGTCATAATATGACAAAAATGAGACTCTTTGATTGACTAAAGTGAGTCTTGGAGATTTTCTCAAAGACAATGAAACATACGTGATACGTACCCAGGCATAAATCGTGGTGGTATATAGGTGGCATTGTTTGTGGTGATTAAGGTCCCAGCTGCTCTAGACATATTGATCTTCTCTGTGATCAGCCACTGGTTAGAATTTGTTAAAAGTTAGCTATGACCGACTCGGACAAACGTTTACGATTAATTAATTTAATATGGCTCTACTGTATTTATAATTTAGTATTTTAATCTCCAAGCGCAATTTTGCGAATCGATATAATAGCTGATAAAACTTCTCAATTCAAATATTATGCTTTATTATTATTGATATTATGGACACTAACGTTGCATCTTTTAACTGCTGTGTGATATGGTGTACAACGGTTAGTTCTTAATTCAAGAAAAGAATCTATTGAAACGTGATTCTTCCGGAGTGTTATGACGTTGCTAGGTGAAATCCTTTAAACTAAACTCTATCTCTAGAGATTGTGCCTAAGGGCCCGCCATCAGCAACTTTATAATTACATTTATAATAAATATCAGTACACACAAAAACAGTTAATTCAAGTAATAGACGCTTTCCACATTAATGACTATAAGTAAATGATTTCGATCACCTTTTCTTTCCAAGACTTTATAGGGCAACGATTTTAAACTGGAGCCAGCGTTTTTGTTTTTTAAACGACTCAATGCGGACTTTAACCAAGACCCTCTGACGGACAGGTGTGCGTCTAGCTCAAACTATCTGCTTTGCCACGGAGGATCCCATAAGTAATTATTGAACTGCACTATCTGGCACTAAATATCAACTTGAGTTATCACATCATTGTCTCATATTTTGTGCAATATATCCTTGTCATTAAAGGTTATAAAAAGAATTCTTGCTTGCTACTTACATCCAGTTTTAACATATAGATGTGAATCCTGGACAATCGGTATTTAGGCCAAACAATTTTTAGAGGCCTCAGAGATGTGGTTTTACAGAAGAATGCTTAGAATACCTTGGACAGCCAAAAAGAGCAACCAAGAGGTTTTGAAAGAGGCGGGAGCCCGAAGACAACTTATCACAGACATCAGAAGGAGACAGTCATAATTTTTCGGCCATGTTATGAGAAGAGGGAAAATAGAACATGCTGTGACCACTGGAAAGATCAGTGGAAGGAAAGATAGAGGAAGACAACGAGAGAAGATGCTTGACAGTCTTGTTGCATGGCATGAAGGTGTGTCGGCACACGAACTGATACATGCTGCAGGAGATCGCAGATTATGGAGAGGCATGATCGCCCACGCCAGTCGACAAGGCACCTGATGATGATGTCTCATATCATTATCTCATTCAGTGCTATAAAAAAAGTAAAGTCGGGAGATGTAAACCAGCGTCATTGCACACGGTTATAAACCATAAGTGCTCTTCAAACTGTAGGGTCCCGTCAGAGGTGAACATTCTTTTACTTGTTATCCAGTCATCTACTTGTGAGATGCAATTTTCGTTATTTGAAGCCATACTCTGGCCCTTGCCAGGGGCCGCAATATAGTCTGACCATAAATATGGTCTAATGGCTGAACGCGGTTTCTGTGACCTCTCCACGGTGATCCTCATCCACATGGTGGCACTTTGTGTCATCGGGTGTTTATCGTTTGTGTGATGTCCTGGTGGAGTAAAAAGAAGAAGTTGTCCGCCTGTGTCGCCGCAGCTACAGCGAAGTTCCTCCATTTACCCGAGAGTTTTAACTCTGGCAAAAACTGAATCAACCATGATGTCGCACACCGCTCGTGTCGCGTGCCTGATTTAAGGATATTCCATAAGAAGCAACAACACACTGAAATAAATAATGTTGAGGCGTCGGCTCGTATTGGTCTAATGGATATCCCAAGGCCAATATACGCTCAACTTATTTCAGGAGTAGGGCAACTCAAGTTCTGGCACTACAGAATATCTAGTAATCCTAGGCACAACTTGGCTGGACACCCCCACTACTATAAAAAGATAGCCCCCAGGCTATGATAGTATACTATCACAGCCATCCTAACACATATTACACTTACTAATCACACAAACATAAAAGCTAGACAGTTAGAATGGCGAAACAGGAACACCCAAGTCAGCCATGGAAATTTCTGAATGGATGTAATAATTGAAATATATATATATATATATATATATATATATATATATATATATATATATATATATATATATATATATATATATATATATATATATATATATATATATATCAAGACAATCAATATGGTTCCCGGTGACTGGATTTTGGGAACTAACGTCGAAAAGATGATGTTGAAACAGCCAAATAATTGTCAGAGAGTTCAGTGTTCATCACTGTGCCTATGGGTAGACCTGTAAATAGAGCATATGGTATGTCATCTCAGATGTTACTTATCCAATTTGGTACGTCACTGCTCCCCTCAGTCCATGGTGATTTGAACAGGCTGACTTAATAGACTGCTTTTCCTCTGGTTGATCTGGTAAATACTGACACTCTTCTTATATGAGAACAGAGGAATTATGCTGGAGCCCAACAAAGCTCCTGAAGAAGGCTTCCTTGGAGTGATGACACAAGTGGCCTGCAACAACTGTCTCTCAGCCACTGGAATTCACACACAAGCTCCTGTCATGTTGAAGTTGTGGTAACAATAGGTAGGATTTTGGGTAGGTTTGGTGATAGGGTTGGTATGGTTTGGTGATTGTTGGCTGGACTGTGACTCGTTTGCTTGACCTCTAGGGAGGTATCATCCCAAGCCTAGGAATCCTTCAAAGATTAAACTGGTATTTTGAATGCGCCAAGATTTAATCAGAGATGTCAAAATACGTCTAGACGCCCCAGAAATCTGGCAAAGAATGATCCCGCCAGATTTTGCTCGGCGTCTCTAGAAAAAAAGTCCTGTATTAGTGCACCAAGGAGTAAAAAGGCTTCCATGAACTCGGAATATTATTTCAGAAAATATCTATCCCACAGTTGTAAGTTTAAAAATGTAGACTTTTCAAACCAACTAGAGGGTATAGAAATATCCATTCCACCAGATAGAGGTATATATCAATATCAGGGACTATATACCCACCGGACGGGTTTAAATTTGAAATGTGACCTGCCCGCTAGGGGCGTCAACGTCACGACGAGTCTATTGTGTCGGTTTTGATTGTTCACTCCGTGACACATGAAACAAAATTCTCACAAACTGGCTAAAGTCAGTTGCCGAATAAATAACATTCACGAAAGAACCTTGTGTCTTGAGGGCGCTTATCAACATAAAAAACAGCTATCAATTCAGAACTGACATCATAGCACTCGAGACATTCCCATTCGCGCTCAGTCCACCATCTTCAGCAACAATAGCAGAGTTCCAGTTCCGATGGTACACCAGTAACCCACAGTAACAGTCTGACTGTATGCCCATTTTATATATCCTCTAAATAAATAAATGTGTTTGTTATTCGACATATGCTTTGTTAATATACATTTCTGTAACCTGTAGAGTCATTTCAATGGTTTGAAATTAATTATGTCCGTATTCCATAGTTGTGGATTTCAAGCTGCACGATAGACATGTCCAGTAAAGACACCCTTTAGGGAGGGGAGGGAGGTGCCAGCTGGTCGTGCTCTTAGTACATTTGTTTCCATAGCGAGGTGCTCACGCTATTTGAATAATTAGCTACTGGATATATGGTGTAACTGAAACCTTCAAAAAAGATAAACAAACCCATCACCCAATCCATGTTAAAAGAGCGAGACGAATACTGAAAAACTAGTCACTGAGCCCCAACCTGGTATCAGTGAAATGTCAACAGAGTTAAGAAAGATGAGATTCGTTTTTGCTCCCGAGACTTGTTGGTGCAGCACTGCACACTGCACCGTTGCACGAAGAATGGTTCTAGCTGAAGAATATCGATGCATGGGGTACCCAAGTGGGTGCAGTCTCTTAAATAAACATAGTCACACTTTACATTTTGGTACATCAATAAAGCATTAAATAATATCTCACCCAACCGTTTCCTTTCCAGCAAAACAGCACATGATCAATGTCAACAGGATCTGTATCCTACTTAATGCTATCAACGCCAATGCCAGATATCGGCAATTAATACGGTACTAGAACAGAAAATAACTATCTGTGAAATCTGCTGTTTCCTTACGGTCACTAAATATAGAACAAGGGAACAGGGTAACGAATTCTAATATTAGAGAGAAAGCTGGAATAAGACAGTGTCTGAATTAAATTGACAGACATACCTGGTATCAGCGATATGGAAATGGGGAGAAAATGTCAACGACCAGCCGTGTGAAAGAAGAAAGTGCAAACAAATAAGTATCTTGTGCCTTGGACAAATTATCTTTGCCTTTCAACACCAGTAAGTGCAAATAACCTCGTTCAAATAAAACCAAACTTTCCTAGATTTTCCGTATTTTGTTTCTTCCAAGTGTTCTTCCCATATAGAGATAACGGGGTAGATAAAATATATGTGTGTGAAAAGAGAGAGTGAGGGGGTGGAGGGGACAGAGAGAGAGAGAGAGAGAGAGAGAGAGAGAGAGAGAGAGAGAGAGAAAGTGGTGATGGCAGTAGTAGCAGAATAGTAGCAATGGTAGCCGCAACAGCAGTGTCTATAGCAGCCACAAGAGCTAACGACTGAGAGAGTTAACACAAAAACTACATTTTCTACTGTTGAGTTGAGTCATGAATACACATCTTAAGCAGCGCAGATTTCCAATACTAATGGTACCGGTCACAATCTGGTTAAAAGTCCGTCTTGCCTTTCATCTGAGTTTAGTGAGCCGGCCAGACCCTCTGGTTACACCCAGGGGCCTCAGGCCATAATAATCTTCTTTCACTACTGATTGATACTGTAAGGGACGTGACCAAATCATATATAAGCATCCTATTTTCTGGAAACGCAGTGAACTTAATTTTCAAATTATCTCTCAATCGAAATTTAATTTATTCCTCAATGCCTGTAATTAGCCACTACTTAGTGCAGTTCAGGGTGCACTCTATTTTTTCCCTAGCCAGTGAAGGAGAATTTAGTTTGTGTAAACAAAAAAGGAGACAATATGTCATATAGTACATAAAAGTGTGGATTAGGCGTTGCGAATGGCTTTGTAATGCCG